TATATATATATATATATATGCTTCAAGCCTAATATGTGACTCATTTCTTTTTGCTTTTAAAATTTTACAAAGCTATATAAATGCTATTCATTGTGTAAGTGTTTATTATCTATTACAAATACTGGTGGGGGGAGCAGGGGACATGGGTCAGTGGTTAAGTGCACTTACTGCTCTTGTAGAGGACCCAGTTGTGTTCCCAGAACCCGCATGGCAGCTCACAACCATCTGGAACTTGAATTCCAAGGGATCCAACTCGCTCTAATTTTACAAAGCTATATAAATGCTATTCATTGTGTAAGTGTTTATTATCTATTACAAATACTGGTGGGGGGAGCAGGGGACATGGGTCAGTGGTTAAGTGCACTTACTGCTCTTGTAGAGGACCCAGTTGTGTTCCCAGAACCCGCATGGCAGCTCACAACCATCTGGAACTTGAATTCCAAGGGATCCAACTCGCTCTTCTGGCCTCAGTGGGTATCAGCCACATGCAGGCAAAACACATACATAAAGTAAAATAAAATAGAAAAAAAAACCCCAAAAAACTCCAGTAGTGGCTAGAGAGATGGCTCAGCAACTGAGTGTTTGCTGTGCAGTCACGAGGACTGGACTTTGGGTTTCGGCATGCATGTAACAAGCTGGGCATCCCACAAACACCTGCAATTCCAGCTTGGAGGGATCCAGTCCTCCCCTCTGCCCTTCACTTGAACACAGGCACACATACATGCAGATACACTCTCAGAAACACACATATAAATAAGTAAATCTTAAAAAAAAATACCATGTAACTATGTTAAACTTGGTAAGGGAAAGTTTGATTCGATGGTTTTATTTCTGTTCATGTTTCCTAGACTACCCTTGATTTAGCTAAGAGACATGTCCTATAATTTTCATTTCTGATAATAATATTCTATAAAAGGATATTCAGTGTTTTTTCCTTTAATAATTTTTTTCTATGATTAACAATATTTCTGTCCTTCCTCCTTTGGGGAAGGAGGAGGAGGCTCTATATTGATATTAAGTGAAACACCCCCTCTGTGTATACCTGGATTTGTAGAGGAATAGACTAACAAGCAAAACTATTCAAACACATAAATATTAAACCGTATATTCAAGAAAGGATAGAATTTGTATTTTAGTTATGCCTTTCTAACTTGGTTTTTCTTTTATTAAAGTTTAAGCATTTTATATTTTTCATTATTTATGTTAACTAATGGAATGATGAAGAAGTGCCATCACCTTTATTTACAGAATAACTTGCTCTCATAAGTCTTCATGTTCTCAGGGTTTAACTTCGTGTCTTACAAGTCACTTTGTTAGAAGAGGTTTGCTATTTCTCATTAGTGGAATTGGTATTATGTCTGGCTTATATAGCATAAGCTTTCTTGTCCTTGTCCTCTCTACTGTGATTGTTACATCTTAGGCTAACATATTGTCCCCTGTCCCTGTCTCCCCCGCCTCCCTCCACAAAGATGAGCCTCTAAGAATTTTTGGCAAGAACTATTACATGTACAGTTAAGAGACTGCCTTAGTTATAGACTCAGACAAAATGCATTTAATGCACTTTTTCTTCTCTCTCTCTGCTTTCTGTCCCTTCCTCCTCTCCTGTTTGCACATGGGAAAATTCCCATGTAGACTTGACACCTTATTTTATTTCTGAGCCACTCTCTGCTGTCCAGAAGCTTGGTAGACCCGTGGTCCTACATTGTTCTGCTAAACCTGTTACTGCTCACATCTCATGGTTGCATAATGGAAAAAAATTGGAGCGAAACATGGAACAGATTAAGATTCATCAAGGGACTCTGACCATTCTTGCTCTTAACCCTTCCCTTTCGGGTTGCTACCAGTGCATCGCCAACAGTAGCACTGGTGCCATTGTGAGTGCCCCTGCGACAGTGTCCACTGCGGGTGAGTATAGTTTCAGCCTTGTTATCTGTGGATTTCTTTGAAATTCGTGGGCTTTCTGTTAGTACTTCCACTTTTGAATACTAGGAAAACTTGGAACTTTGGTATGAGACATACAGAAGTCTGAGGACTTCTCATCCCAGCCTTGGCTTGACTGTGTATAGCTGAGGAAATGTACCTGAACCTCTGTAGCCCAGCCTAGTATCGTCATCTCTAACAATAGTATAGAGATGACTATGAAAAAATTAACACAGGACATTTTCTAATGTGATTCTGAATGCGAGTCTTATAAATTCTTTATTATCAATAATAGCAAAAGTTGTCTGTTTCATCCCCCCCCCTTTTTTTTTTTTTTTGGTCTTTTTGAGACAAGGTCTCCCTGTAGCCCCACTTGGCCTGGAACTCACTATGTAGACCAGGCTGGCCTTGAACTCACAGAGATCCGCCTGCTTCTGCCTCCCGAGTGCTGGGATTAAAGGCATGCACCACCACGCCTGGCCCTGTCTTCTTTGACACTCAATTATTTCATGTAGTTCTTTATCTTTCTTTCACATCTAATTGTTTTATTTCCCTTGATTACTAGGTGATTTTAATTTATGTAACTGAAACCAGGCGGACAGAAAAATAATTGACTGTAAAGAAAGGAATGTAGAGAACTGAACTTATGGAAAATCTGGAATGTGTGGTTTTCCTTAGTAAGTTTGAGCCATCTGCCTTTCAAATGGCAGTGGCTTCCAGTAATGAGAAACGGTTTTGTTAGGTCACCCCCATTTACAGAACAAATCTGGATTCCCTTGGAGTAGTGAGTTTGTCATAACTGAGAAGAGTAAATGTTTTTGTAGAGCTGTGACCCATGTACAGTTCCAAGACACACACTGGAGGGCTGGATTCCTGGAGGTAGCACTGAATTCCCTGGGTGTTGGAGATAGTAAAGAGCCTGTTCAGTCCATAGTGAACTTTAAACAGAAAAGAATCAAGATCAAGTTAGTCTATCCAGATAATTTAGCTGGCATGCTACATTGTTTTATGATATCTAGGTTCATTCCCAGAAGCCATTTTATTGCAGTGTATTTACAGACAAGGAAAGTGGGTTTTGTTGAAGACCTGGATGCAAGGTTTATCTTGACAGAATGTGAATAATTAAGCTTTATAGTTCTCCTTGGTGTTTTAGGAGCAGTTTGTTTTCCTTACAGTTTCCTGAAGGCAGTGACTTCTGTGAACCAGGTCCCCTGACTTAGCTGTCAGTCCTTAAGCATGTACTTCTGCCCTAGCTACTTTCTCAAATACAAAAATCATGTTGTGGGCCAGGGTGACACATGCCTGTGATCCTAGCACTTGGGAGCTGAAGGCAGGAGAATTGCAAGTTCAAGGCTAGGCTGAGCTATATAATGAGACCCTGTCTCAACAAACAAACCCAAAGAATACAAACAAACACATGAAAACCAAATAAAAAGATCATGCTATGGGATCAGCTGCCACAAATAGGCCATTCTGCCCATTTCTAAATTTTAAATTTCCTTTGGGACAGAAAATTGTTTTACATCCATTTATTTGCTTATTTATTTCAGTTCTTGGTGATTTTGATTCATCGATAAAGCACAATGTTATTATAGCAGAAGAGAAAAGTACAGGTTTCATCAGCTGTAGAGTGCCAGAGAGTAACCCAAAAGCTGAGGTGCGCTATAAGATCCGGGGAAAGTGGCTGAAGCATTCCTCAGGTAAGTCCAGTGTGCTTAGAAGTGGAGGAACTGGGACACATGGTTATATTAGGCAACTGGCCCCAAGGGCTTGCTCCCTCAACCACTCAGGGCCCTATTTAAGTATCACTTCCTTAGAGAAGATGGCCCACATAGCAGTATATAAATAAGATGCTCTGCCTGCTACCCCCTTTATTCAGCTCCAGTTTTCTATATGGAATGTGTCATATCTAGTTATGTGTTATATGTGTTTTTGTTTGCTTATTTATTATGTGTCCCTTTCTTTGCTGCCTCACACTCCCCATTGGAATGTTAGGTACATGAATATAGGGCCTTTATCTGCTCTTTGTATTCCCCTACCATGGTGTGCCCTGGCCATGACTGGTAGAAAATAGCTACTACGTGTGTGCTGCTTACTGACAAACATGAATAGCCAGTGACTGAATACCATTGTAACCAGGCCTCTAGGCCAAGGTGTGTCCAGGTGGTGGCTGTGCTCATTGTCTTTGTCCACATAAGCTTCTTGTGCTTTCAGACCCATACCATCTGCTGAAATGTTTCTGACGGGTTTGATTGTGTTATATCAGTACTTCGGATTTAGTTCTTTTCTGCCTTGGCTTTTCTCTTGTCTAATGGATTTTCTTTGATTGCTTATTCGCTGCTAGTCTTAGATGTAACTCTCAAGTGTCTTTGCTAGTCTTAGTTATGTGGTGATTTTTCAGAAATGGAGAGGCCTCACTGTGCCCTCCCCCCACCTTTGAGATAGGGTCTCATGTACCCTAGGTTGGCCTTGAATTTGCTCTGTAGGTTAAGATGACCTTGATCTTCTGATCTCCTGTCTTCACCTCCCAAGTCCTGGTATTACCAGCGTGGGCCACCACGTCAGATTTTATGCTGTGGGTTCTAGGGATTGAATCTAGGGATATGTGCATGCTAGGCAAGCACTCTACCAATTGAGCTACATCTCCAGCCCCTGATTGTACTCCTTTACCTTCCCCAGGGAACTATATAATCCTTCCATCGGGAAATCTTCAGATTTTGAATGTATCCTCACAAGATAAGGGATCATACAAGTGTGCCGCTTATAATCCAGTCACCAGTGAATTGAAAGTTGAACCCATTGGCCAGAAGCTCCTTGTGAGTCGTAAGTATTTGGGAGAACGATGGTGGCTAGGAAAGGAAGAGTCATCACAAGTACAGCTCATAAAGCCTTAGGAAAGGAGAGTTCAGTTTGTTTCTCAGATCCTGTTTGTTTCATCATAAGAAAGTCTTACAAAAATGGCAGTGCCTCAGTGTGTTACAGAATAGTACCGTAGATTTTTCTTTTTTTTGGTCTTTTTGAGACAGGGTCTCCCTGTAGCCCCAGCTGGCCTGGAACTCACTATGTAGACCAGGCTAGCCTTGAACTCACAGAGATCTACCTGCCTCTGCCTCTCAATTGCTGGGACTGTAGGCATACACCATGTATTTTGATTTTGACCCTTAGAGAAAAGTAATTTAGCTATGCAGTAGGATCTTGTCATACCAAGAATAAATGGAAACACAGCTCATGGGAATGCTCACAGCTCTACTAAGGGAGACCTTAGAAGGGAGTCCTTTCCAATAATATTTTGTGTTCCTTTCCTTTTCCAGGCTCTTCCTCAGATGGTTTTCACATTCTTCACCCCACCCTTTCTCAGACCTTAGCTGTCCTTCCTCATAGCCCTGTAACCCTGGAGTGTGTGGTGAGTGGGGTCCCAGCCTCACAAGTGTATTGGCTGAAGGATGGACAGAATGTGATATCAGGAAGCAACTGGAGAAGGCTGCATTCTCATCTTTCCACCACTAGCATTGACCCTTCGGACTCTGGGAACTATTCCTGTGTAGTGGGCAACAAGTCCGGAGACATAAAACATGTCACTTACATGGTTAAGATACTGGGTAAGATCTTATTCAATATATGGAGTTCATTTCAAAGCAGGTCATTTTCCTGGTCTAACTGGTATTTGAAGGCTATTTGTGAGCTAAAGAAGAGACATAGACTATCTAGGAATATCCACACCAGTAGCCAGAACAAAGGTAATCTCTCTTAAGGGATACTGAATAAGGCTATATCTCTGGGTGACACAGAACATTTGGCATAGCATGTTCTCAGGGGCTCTAGACCCTTGAGTTTTTCTAGAAAACTACATCACAAAGAAATCCACCTGTTTATTTTTAACCTTGTTTTCATGTCTGGCTGATACAATCCACCCACACACATTTCTGTATATATTCTTTATTTCAGAACTATTTCTATTATCATTATGTAGCACTGAAAAAATGTTTTCTTTTATCAAAACAAATTTTTGTGAAAACTAGAAAAATGAATAGGAAGTGGTTTCATATTGTCTTTGTTTCTCCATTGCTGTGACAAAACCCTCTGACCACTACCAACTTGGGGAGGAAAGGGTTTATAAGTCTTATATCTCCCAGGTCACAGTTCATCAGGGAGCCCAAGATAGGAACTCAGGGCAGAAACCTGGAGTCAGGAGCTGGAGCACAGGCCATGGAGGATCACTGCTTATTGGCTTGCTCCTTGGCCCCTGCTCAGCCTGCCTCTTATACAACACTGGCCCACCTGCCCATGGGTGGCACCACCCACAGTGGGCTGGGCTCTCCCACATTACTCATCAAGAAGATGCCCCACAGACATGGTCGCAGACCAGTCCAATAGAGGCAATTCCCCAACTGAGGCTCCCTCAACCCAGGTGTGTCAAGTTGACACTAAAGGTATCCAGCATACATACGAAATAAAATTTTTGTAAAATCTCTGCATTTTACTTATACTCATGACCTGATGTAGGTTAGCAAAACTGGGGATTAATGTAAACATATGGCAAGTGGACTTTAACAGTCAGTGATGTGGCTGGGTACAGTTCAGTGACAGAGTAGCCTAACATGTGCAAGGCTCCAGGTTTGATCATCAGCACTGCCAAAAAAAAAATAAAAACAATAACCATCAAGACTAGATTAATACGCTTCATCATTTATTTTAGTCATAGACTCTGTAAGTGTTGATAAATGACTTTCATAGGTAAGAAGTGACCACAAATCCTAAAATATTTTGCCTATTATACACAGTCTCAAAGTAGAATTGATTATTATAAGCCAAATTTAAAATGAGCAAAATATTTGATTAATTTATAAAACCATCATTTTGAATAAAACCTCTTTTGTTTCTTGTTTAGCATACAGTCTAAAGAAACTTATTTTATATTAATTATTAAAGGTATATGTTAAGAGAACAGAGTTAAAACAATTTGTGTGCATTCATGTGTGTTGGGGTACCCAGTGGGGGATCAATCTAAAAAGAAGACATACCTTATTGGCAACATGTGGTTTATTCTATTAGTGAAAGTTAAACTAGATTTCTAATGTGTTCTTGATGAGCACAGAGATAGAAGAAAGTGAATAAAGAATACAGCATGGTTTCATTGCTCATTTATAGAGGTAGATTCTCTGTGATTTGTGTGATAGTTTAAAAAGTGCCTGCTTTATTTTCAGAGCGTGCATCAATTTCTAAAGGACTGCATGATCAGAAAGTGTCCCTGGGGGCCACTGTACATTTTACCTGTGATGTTCGTGGGAACCCAGTCCCCAACTGTACATGGTTTCATAATGCATGGCCTATTCATCCCTCCCCACGGCATCTAGCTACAGGAAATGGACTGAAAATCACTGGGGTTACCATGGAAGATTCTGGTCTGTATCAGTGTGTAGCAGACAATGGAATTGGATTTACACAGTCTACTGGAAGACTTCAAATTTACCAAGGTGCGTGTTTCGGTCATGTAATCACAGGAAATTTTATTTCATAAGTGGGCTTTTGCAGTAGTTGAAAATGAAGTCATTTTTACTAAAAGCAAATAATCCATTGCCACGCCAGAACTGTTTATTTTCATTTTCCTTTGTTGTGACAGGCGTTTCTGTGACAAAACCACTTTATTTAATCAAGCTCATTAAAAACATTGTTTCTAGGCTGGGATTGTAGTTCAGTGGTAGAGCACTTAGTTTGTATGTAATTTTCTGGGTTCCTGCACTGCCCCCTCCAAAATCATTAAAGAACTGTTTCACAACATGTTTTAAACAGATGCTGCACAGTTTAAAAAGGTCCAAGTCCACACCTCAATCTTTCTCCCTCTCTCCTTGTTCCCCCAAACTCCCCCACCATCCAGCAGCCAATCAGGGTGTTTCTTTAGAACCAACTGGTTTTATTAATTTCTTTTTAATAACTTGTATGTGCATATATGAGCAGCTGTATGTCCTTACTCATTTATGGGGGAAATTGTTTATTTTGTGAGCTATAAACATTTAGAAGTTCAGAACATCATTATGAAACAGACCACCTCTTTGACCTTAATGTAATTAATTTAGAAGTTAATAATAGAAGCATCATTTTTAAAGAAGATTGCCATGCATTTGGAAACTTAAAGTTACCCTACTCAATAGTTGGATTGAAAAGAAATCATAGTGGAAGCTTAAAGTACTTTAAATTGAATAGAAATGAAAATGCTGTACATTAATCATGTTTTTGTAGGAAGACAGCCAAAATGGAACTTAGAAATACTTTTAGCCTTATGTGCTTACCAAAGAAAACTAGTAAGGTTGAAAATTAGTAAGCAAAGCAAAAGAACATTAGTGTAGATTCGAAGAAAGGAGAAACAAGATAAAAGCAGAAATCAGTTAAGTAGAAAAGAAAAAGATACAATGCAAAGTAAATAAGAATAGAAATGAGCTCCTTGTAAAGTCTAATAAAGTGGACCAATCTTTGACAAAATTAAGTTTAAAAAGCAGGTATAAATGAGCAATATTAAGAAGGGAAAGAGGTCATAGGCATGTCTTGCTATTGAGTTTAAAAAGGTAACTGATAAATTTTATGGTAGTGAATTGTAAACAAGAACAGAAGAATGAGGTGTTAGCTTCCCATCACTATGACAGAACATGAGATAATTTAAAAAGAAGACTATATACTATATCAGTTAAAGTGACTATATATATACTATACAGAGAGAGAGAGAGAGAGAGAGCAACCCTTGGACCTCTTGCCCTTTGGACCCCTTGCCTTGGGTCTGTGACAGGCAGTACAGTGTGTCGTGCTGGAGTAAGTGGCAGAAGACACTTGCTTACCCTCACAGCTGGGAGGAGAGAGATGGGAAGGGGCCAGGCTCCCATTATCCCCTCCCAGGATACACCCCTAATTACCTAACTTCTTTCCACTAGGCTCATCTTGTGAAAGCTTCACTCTCACCTCAGTAGCTTGGCAGGCTAGAAACCAAAGCCTTCAACACATGGACCTTTGGGGGGAACTCCAGATCCAACCTCTAACATGGGCAAATTCTGAGGAAAAACAGAAGTTAGCAAGACTGACTTAAATAAAAAAAAAAAAAAAACTGAGTAGTCCTACAACTATGAAAGATTGAATTAGGAGTTAAAATTTTTCCCACAAAGGAAACACTAGGCCAGATGGTTTTATAGAGATTCTACCAAACTTGCAAGTAATAGACCATTCCAGATATTACATAACTCTTCCAGATAAAAGGAGAAAATGTGAGTCCAAAATCACAGAAGGATGGTATAAGAAAGTAAAATCGAAGGCATATCTTCTTTGTGAACCTAGGTATAAAAATCTTAAATAAAATATCAGCAAGTCAGGAATGTTTTTTTTTTCTTTTGGGAAGTAACTCATGACTTGTCTTCATTGCAAAATCAGCTTGGAACTGGATCACTTGGCCCTTTCTCTTCTTGTTGCCTCCCAGTTCAAAATGCTTGCACCTCTTTAAAGCCAGCATTCTCTTAGATCTGCAGTTGGGCTCCACATACTCAAGGCTCACACAATGTTTGTAGTTTTAGCCTTTTTGTGGAAAATAGGCTTAGTCTGCCCACCATAGCTACTCTGTTTCCTATCATAACACCACTTTCCCTGGGCATACAGGGAATCCTTGCCCTTCTTGTACTGTGTCACTTTGTGGCCCTGGTGCTTGTCACATTTCTTGCAGAAAGTTTAGCGTGTTTTAGGAGCATTCACCGTGTTTGTGGGAACACTAGCAGCACAGAAAGAAAGAGGCTGGGCCAGAAAAGGAAGTATATCAGGAATGTATTTTTTTTTTTTAATCAACATCTTGCTCAAGCAGTTCAGAAATCTGCCATAAAATATAAAGTATTATTTACCCTATTTGTTTATAGTATAAAGGAGAAAAACTGTGATTATTTCACTAAAAGTAGGAAAAAAGTTAGACAAACGATGCTAGACAAAAATGAAGGGAGAACTTGATAAAAGCTATCAAAGATTGGGGCTGGAGAGATGACTCAGCGGTTAAGAACACTGGCTGTTCTTGCAGAAGACCTGGGTTTGAATCCCAGCACCCACATGGCAGCTAACAACTGTTCATAACTCCAGTCCCAGGGGATCTGACAGCTTCTTCTGACCTCTGTGGGCATTGCACGACATGGGTGCACTTACCTACATGCAGGCAATCAATACACACATACACATAAATTAAAAAAAAAAGTTTAAAAACAGCTATCAATGATTTACATGAAATGTCACTTACAGTAGTGAAATATAAAAAGTACTCACTTTAGAAGTATTTTCTAGGCATTCTTGTACGAGAGATTCCACAGGGAATAGTTACACAAGAGGCAGGTGGATCTCTGTGAGTTCAAGGCCAGTCTGGTTTTTGTAGTGAGTTCCAGACCAGCCAGGGCTGCAGCCCTGTCTCAGATGAAGACAAGATCGAACTATTAGCTAGGCATGGAGGCACATGCCTTTAAACCCAGCATTCAGGAGACAGAGGCAGGTGGATCTCTGAGATCAAGGCTAGTTTGGTCTACATATTGACTTCTGGTCCAGCTGGGACTACAGGGAGACCCTGTCTCGAAAAACAAATACACAAACAAAAACAGCAAAGATCTAACTATTAAAGAAAAAATGGGGGAAAGTGTTTGAAAAACATATTAGATAATATTTGTGTGATCTTTCGGTAAAAAATTTTATCTAGTCAAATACAAAGCCTAGTTTCAAAAAGATATGAAAACACCTTCATTAAAAGATACTTCTGAAAAGAAAAGAAAAGCATTAAGGTCAGAATACACATAAGACACTAGAATACATATAACAAAAGAATAATATCTGTATATACAAAGAATCTGAACTATTTTACAAAAAAAGCTGAATGACCCATAGGGAAGACAACGAGAGGCATTTCACAGAGAAGGGGAACTATGAGGAACAGAACCCACCAATGTATGCTTGACTGCATTCCTCCTCAGGGGCCTGCATGTTGGGACAAGTGAGAGAGCTTTTGCACCCATTCACTTAGCAGAAAATCAGAAATCTGAGTGTTCATTGGTTTTATCAGACATTTATTTATTTCATAGCTATTTATGAGCAGTAGGCCTAGAGAAAAAAAAGACGCTAGAAAAAATGTCTTTTGTGTTAATATTTTATTGTGGGCCCATTTAAAATACCTATGGAAAATTTTAGGAACAGAAGGGAAGGCTTTGTACCATTTTAGATGAAAATGATGATCATGTCAATGGTAAGAAATAGTATCAGGGGAGAAAGGTTACTCAGAAGTTAATAGCACTGGCTGCTCTTGAAGAGGACCTTGGTTATGTTCCCAGGACCCAAGTGGCAGCTAACAACTGTCCATAACTCCAGTTCCAGGGGATCCAACATTTGCCCTCTTCTGGCCTCCATGGGCATTGCACACACAGGTGCACTTAAATACATGAAGGCAAAACACTCATGCACATAAAATAAAAACAAATTTTAGAATCCCAGCACTCGGGAGGCTGAGGCAGGTGGATCTCCATGAATTCAAGGCCAGCCTGGTCTACATAGTGAGTTCCAGGTCAGCTGGGACTACAGGGAGACCATGGCTCAAAAAGACAAATAGCTCCTCACCTCCCTCTGCTTCCCTGGGCCTGCAAGACCCGCAGGCCTCTCTCTGGGATAAGTTGATCGCGCCCTCGGTGCCTGGACTCCCCCAGCCTCATTTACCCTCCCATCTTCCCTGCCTGTCTGTCCTCCTAGTCTGGGTCCTGTCCCATTCCTTGTCTTTGTGCCCCAGACACTGGGGAAACCACCAGAGCCTCCTGATACTTTGCATCCAGTCCAGCCCAGTTCCTTTTCCGGTCCCCAGGAGCCCTCTGGGCCTGGCCCTCCTCTCACATCCCTCTGCTTCCCTGGGCCTGTACAACCCACAGGCCTCTCTCCAACCCACAGGCCTCTCTTGGGGGTAAGTCCATCACTCCCTTGGCGCCTTCACTCCGGCAGCCTCATTCACCCTGCCATCTCCCCCGCCCATCTCTCCTCGTAGCCTGGGTCCTGTCCCATTCCTTGTCTTGGTGCCCCAGACACCTGGGGAACCACGACTGCTTCCTGATACTTTGCATCCAGACCAACACAGTTCCTTCTCTGGTCCCCAGGAGCCCTCTGGGCCTGGTCCTGCCCTCATCTCCCTCTGCCTCCCTGGGCTGGACAACCCACCAGCCTCTTTCCTGGATGCCAGGGCTAACCTTTCCTTTTCCTGATCCTTTGCATCCAGACCAACCCAGCTCTTCAGTGCCGTCCCCAGGAGCCCTTGGGGCCTCTTCCCACCCCCATCTCCCTTTACATCTCTTCGGCAGCCCAGCCACCAGCTGCCCTAGACCAGCATCTTTCCTGCGCCCAGCTCCCAGGCTAGTCCAACCCCCAAATTCCTGAGGCCAAAATCTTTCCCGGAGGGATCCAGACCTTAGGAGAAAGCCTGAGAGCATCTGATCCTCATCTG